CGGATTATCTATTATCCATTAAGTGGAAATGAGTATCGAAATAACTACATGAAACAAAAGACCAAAAAAAACACCAAACGCTTGTTAAATCTCCCATACTTATGTAGCACGAAAATTGGTAGCACATTATTGTTTCATAGCGTAGCCTATAATTTGCACTTAATTCCCCAAACTATCCCACTTAAGCAATAGTAATAAAAGTATGGCCCCTTTATAATTCGCCAAATATGACCCTGATGGGGCCGAATATGTCAAACGAGCAGAGTCGTAATCCAGTCACAAGCCGATCACAAGTCAAATCACAAGTCGCAGACAGCCTGTTGGTTAGTAGTAAACGGAAGTTTTTGATAATATCTGACCACAGTAATTTAGCGTGATCGGTAAGCTCTACATACTGGTTGTCCCACAAAAAAAAGCCTACCAGTCGAAAACAAATTAATAAAGGTATATTGCAGGTGAGTTTTTGGAATATTGTTAAATTATCTTGAAACAAACACTATGCTTCATCGAACTTAAGGGTGAACATAAGTTTGGCCAGTTTGGAATCGACTATCTGCAAAGTCCAGGTTAACGTCTTCGATAGGCCAAAAAAAAAAAGTCTCCGGTTTCTGGTATGCGCGCGCGTCGCCGTAGCCATGCGCGTCGGCAAAATGAAAAAAAGTGTTTTTTTTTCAATAAAAGATGATGTCTCAAAACCGCCAAACTCACTGGTTTGACTGGAATCCTGCGCAGCACAATTTTTAAGTGTTTTTTTTAGATGGGGTTATGATAGAGAATAAGCTTTATGTGGCCTCTGTGGACTGACTGGACCCCATATATTTGCACTAAGTTTAGTCGGGCACCATTTTGCAGCATCAACCGACATTAGAAGCAGAAAAAAAATAGGTAAAAAAAAAAAAGCCGCATCGCCGCACCACTTTTTGGGCAAGCTCCATACAAGAAACCGGAGACTTTTTTGGCCTTATAGGAACGGGGCTGATTTTTGCTGATCTTAGCAACCAACGCTCAAGGGCGGATCCAGAGAACACAATTTTTTTGGGGGGGGGGGGGCGCCAAACAAATTTTGGTCTTCCAAAAAGTGTCTCGAAAAAAAGGCGGCTTGGGTTTCGGGGCCCGCTTATTAAGGGCCCAGAAAAAAATTGGATTCTAGATGCTCTGTGGTGCAATCTGAGGCTATTTCTAACCACTTTAACTAAATCTTTAGGAGGAATAGATGGTGGTGTACGCAGTGCCTGCCTTTGATGCGACGCCACTTAAAAAAAATTGTTTTTTTGGGCCCCCTGGATCCGCCCTTGCCAAAGCTTATATATAATATGTGTCGCCTATGTTGTGGCCTTCGGGTTAGGTGAACAGACAATCGGCAATGGTAGAATTTGTGTGGGCCGGGAAACCCAAAAACAAAAAAGAGTCCCACGGAAGTCGGCAATAATTTCAAGTTGAATTAATAAATTCGACTCCAGTATGTTTTGTCTACCGCACAATTGCTTGCTATGACTTGTGATGACTTAATCATTGATTACAACCATGCAAACTAGGGCAGGCAAAACAGCATCTGCTGATCGCGTACTCGTCGTCGTAATAGTGACTTTCATGCGTTACGACGGCAAGAGGCTTAGCGCAATCTTCGGGTACGGAGATATCATCAAAGATGTTTTCGTAGCAAATGGTGTATCTCCATGAGTGTCGTAGTCCCAACTGGCTTCGGAGTAGGCGGATTCGCACCACCGATACTTTCCAGCTAGGTCGTCTGGAGATTACAGAGAAAAGAAAGAAGTTGGTTAACAATTAGCCAGCGAATTAATGTCAATAGTATGCCCATAATGCATAGGCTCGATTTTTCTAGAGCGATTCCGGTTTCATTTTCTAAGTAGTCCATATTCCAATTCTTCTGAGGATTGCAACTTTGTCATTCTGGAAGGGTTTGTGTGTCCCCTGGATGCAAAGGGGTCCGCTCATACCTACTAAGTCCAACGCCTCATAAGTCCGACGCCTCATAAGTCCGAAATTCGGACTCATGAATCGTCGGACTTATGAGGCAAACAATTTATTTATTCCGCCTCATAGGTCTGACGCCTCATAGCTCCGACGCCTCATAAGTCCGAAACAGCGTTTGTCCATTGTCGGACTTATGAGGCGTCGGACCTATGAGCGGAATTTATGCCTCACAAGTCCGAAATTTCGACATGAGGCGTCGGACCTATGAGCGGAATTTATGCCTCATAAGTCCGAAATTTCGGACTTATGAGGCGTCGGACCTATATGAGGCGTCGGACTATACGACCCAATCCAAAGAGCGGTGTCGTCGGAAGTCTAAGTGCTACTGGCAGGGCCGCCCTAGGCATTAAGGTTGAGGGGGGAGGAACCAGACCAAAAGCAATCCAAAAAATGTAATATAAGGATACCGCCCAGTTGAAATAAAAACGAGGCTGTTGTGTTTGCAAAGCAATGGGTCCTTCCAGTAGCCGCGAACTTGCTAACACATCGATTCCCCAATAAACCCAGTGTAAAGGAACCAATGCGCACTTACCTTGAGAAAAGGTCCAGTCTCTGGATTGTCTTCCTTCTTGGACACTGACCTCGAGTTGGTAAGGGTCCTTCGTGTATTCGACAACTGCAAAGAACAACCGCAATATTTACATGGGCTTTATTTTACAGAAAACTTGCAATACGGCTTCTATAAACGTTGGTGGCAATATATCCGGGTTACCAGGCCCGGATTACTTAACAGGCACAGTAGGCACTGTGCATAGCATAGGGCCTACGAAAAATTTGGGGGCCTACGAAAAATTTGGGGAGGGCCTACGAAAATACCGCAGTGTGCCATAAAACATATAGGCCTTCCACACACACCCACACGCGCAGATAAAAGTTTTAAGAAAGTTTAAGGGTCTCTCTCGGAATTTTCGATTTCACCAACTGACGCTGTACAGCATGTATGCGTATAAAATGTACGTGTAAAGGCTGTCGTTCAGAAGCACGGTGCCAACCATGGGCGTCAATCGGTGGGGAACGGGGTGACTGATATCGTTCCCCAACGATTTGCGTCCCTGAATAAAAATATGTAACCTACATTTGATTCTATAGCTCGGAACAGCTGATTTAATGACTCCAAACTCGAAAAAGATGTTTAAATGATGATCTTGTGCCAAAATGCAGTCGTCAGAAATTGCCTCGGATCGCACCACAGGGCGCCTAGAATCCATTTTTTTCAGGGGCCCTTAAGCGGGCCCCGAACCCCGCGCCGTTTAGGCTTCTCACTCGAACAATTACTCAGCAAAAACTGTAGTGTTAATTTAACACCATTCGGTATTTATATGTGACAACACCAGTAAAATTTAACACCAGATGGTCCTATATAGATACTAATGGTGTAAATTTAACACCATAGTTTTTGCAGTGTAGTACCGATCAAGATACACATGTTTTATGTACCACCCCCACTTTGAAAAAATATGACGCCCTCGAGAATTGGAGCCAACAGGCTTTTAGAGCTAGGACCAATACCAGTTTGGCCTGGCTTGTTTGAATTATACAGCCCCCCCCCCCCAAACAAAAGTGCGCTCTGGATCCGTCTTTGTACCCCCACTCCCAATATCTATAGCCACATATTTTTATTATTAGTTTTTGAGACAGGGACATTTTCCGGTTCGCGCATTAACAAGATTGTGAATCTTCTCGAGATGGAAAACCATCCCTCGAAAACACAGGTGTTAGTAAAAATTATACTCGCTTGTTAAGCACACAATGCGATCCCAATTTAGATCGTTCAGTCGCCAAAGGTTCATGCATTTGCTTAGTTTCATCTCAAATGCCTTTTTATGACCATAGACTTGAGTCAAGGGCGTATGGCAACCGGACACGAAAAAAAGACCATGCGAGTGGCAGGCTCGTTGAATTGGCTCAGTGCGCCATCATCAGGGGGCGTAATTCCCGGGTGTGGGTGGGTGATACCCCCACACTTTTTGACCGCGGGGATGGGCTATTGAATCATTCCCCACTTTTTTCCTGATGAGGAAACAATGAGGATTTTGAGGTATTTTCCGAACGTCCAAGTAATAAAATGTATACAATAGTACTGGAAAGTGGAGAAACAAAGTACAAAAAGCTTTCAAAAATGTAAGCGCGAGTATACATAATTGATAACGAGTGCCCAGTAGTATTATGTGGTGTCCAGCCCCCCCCCCCTTTCGAAAGCCCACGGCCGGGCAATTCGGGCGTTTCATGTGCCACCAAGAGTTTGCCACGGAAAGTTAGTTTTTCCTAGTGCATTGTGGGGTGTGGGAGATGGTCGACAATTTTGCAGCGCGGGACATTTGAAATTATTAGTTTTTCCGGTCAGTAGTTTCGTAAGCGTATGATTCAAGTATAAATTTGCCTTTTTTTCCCTATGTACCAATATGGTGTTTTTAGTAAGGCGGCCAGAACGCTATACCCGAATTTATAACCACTTAGCTTAAGTAACTTAAGGCCAAAAAAAGGTCTCCAGTTTCTGGTATGCACGCGCGTCGCCGTAGCCATGCGCGTCGGCAAAATGAAAACGTTTTTTTTTCAATGAAAGATGATGTCTCAAAACCGCCAAACTCACTGGTTTGACTGGAATCCTGCTGCTGCACAATTTTAACGTGTTTTTAGATGGGTTACGATAGAGAATAAGCTTAATGTGGCCTCTCTGGACTCCCATTTGCACTAAGTTTAGTCGGACACCATTTTGCAGTCATCAACCGACATTTGAAGCAAAAAAAAATCAGGTAAAAAAGCGCGTCGCCGCACCACTTTTTGGGCAAGCTCTATACCAGAAACCGGATACTTTTTTGGCCTTATATGACACTCATTCAAATCGGCTTTGTTTTGTCGACCGTAATTCCAAAAACTGACTCTCCATGGCAAACATTTGTGGCGCATTGCGTTGTGAATAGCCAGAATGTTATGATTTTGGTCATCCCCCATCCCCCCACCCACTCGCAAGCACAGATATACGCCACTGGCCGTCATTGCCCCCGCGTGGTCACGATTAATCATGCCACCGACTGACGTTAATGTGACATTGTATTATAATGGCATCATTCCCTAGACTAAGCGTAAGTACAAGAAAAGATGAAGTTTCCCAAGCTAGCTAAGGGACTGAAATAGAATCAGACTACCAAAAATCCCTTGTAAAAATTTGTAAACGGGTTAGTAGTTTGATATAAATATAATTAGGTTGGGGAAACTTGCTAGAATTTCTCTCAATCATAGTGACATGTCAGTGCCAGCCAAAAGACACGCGACGCGAAATAATAATTGATGAGACAGAATAAGAACGAGCTTGGTAAGGTTAATTGCTCGTAGTGACTGAATAGTCAACTGCTCGGTACATAAGAATGATTGCAGAAAAGAGTTACGTAACAGCATTCATGTATATAGCACGATGCCGATGCATCTTTCGTGCAGCTATGAAACACAAAGTAACCCTCCCACTGCGGAAATAACGATTATGTTTTTATACGCAAAGAGAAAAGTACTTACTGAAACAGCCTAGTTGTTAAGCTGTCAGACAACGGACCCAGGGTTAGGGGTTCGAACCTGCTTGGTGTCATTTTTTTGGTTTTCGATGCCCGCGGTTCTGTCATTTAAGAGTGTTAATTTCCCGTCGTCATTTACCAACTGCAGTTAGCTCGGTCGGTCGGTAAGCTGACTCACAAGTTGGGACTGTCTGCGAAGTCCAGGTTGGCATCTGCGTATAGGTACGGGGTTCTTTTGCTGACTCGGCAGCAAGGCTTAGGGTGCCACCTCGTTTTCCCCCTTTATGGTGCCTGACTTTCGAGGTACATGGATGGACAGGGAAGGAGGTGTGGTGTACCGAGTCCGGAAGAGTTCTATATGGAAGTCCGACTCCTGAAGACTTGGCCATCGCCACATAACTTTTTGTTTTATTTTATTTCCTTTCTTTCGGAGGACAATATTGCAAGAATGATCAATTTGTTATATTGAGAGCTTGTACTGTAATCGTTCGAAATTAATGTTTAAAATTGCTCGAAAATACAAAATTCAATCCAGCTAAAATATTGTTTATTTCATTATCGCACAACTGCATGTTCATGCTTAGTACTTTGCGCATACTTTGTTCTGGCCTGTTACCTTTAGTGGATTTTTTAAAAATCACTCTACAGGGTGACTAGAAAAAAAAACGAAACCCAAATGGCAGGACCAATTTTTTAATGCAGTTTTGCTTGTAGCACTTTTAAAATCTAGGATATGAAAGCCCAATCAATAAACTTTCTGTTAGTACAAGAATAACTAAAATCTCATGTACTTTTCACGTTACAGAATTCGGAACACAAACACCGTTTTAACGTTCTGTCCACGGATCACAAAAAAGTTAAGCATTCTTCCAGCAAAACCAAAACAATTCACATGCATCCCTATAAAAATTGCGTTCGTTTGCTGAAAAAACACCGGTGTTACCTTTTTTTTGTGATCCATGGACAGAACTTTTAAACGGTGTTTGTATTCAAAACTCTTGAAAAAAAAAAACTCGAAAAATTACACGAGTGATTTCAATAATTCTTATTTTAAATGAAAGCTTATTGATTGGGTTTTCATATCCTAGATTTTGAATGTGCTACAGGCAACTTGAACTTCATTCAAAAATTGTTTCTGCCATTTTGGTTTCATTTGGTTGTACTCACCCGTTACACGGACAGATTTAAGTTGCCCGAGGCTTAATTAACGTCTCTATGAGTTACGTACCTGTTAAGAATTCCTGTCCAAAGAGGGGAATTATGACACAGTGTTGACACACATCCTCAGCGTCGTTGCATGTCATATTGATGCGACTGAATCCCTGATTGGCGGTGGGAAAATCAAAGAGAAGGGAATGTAACTTTCTTTTGTTGGGACTTTATACGTTAGACAATATGCGGCAGGAGAATACATGTACAGGGTGAGTCAAAAACAGAGGAACCCAAACCCCCCAAAATATGTTTCATATTAAAAAAAAAAAAAAAATGAAGCACCAAAAATAGTAATGACTGGAAAGCCAATTTCATAAGCTACTTGTAGATGAAAAAATACTGAAATTATTTAATCCGTTCAAATAATATCACCATTTAAACGCAATAAACATAAAACCTGTTTCGTCCCAAAAAAAGGAGCAATTTATTGTGTATTCTGACTATTTGGAACAACAAAGAAAACTTGTTTCAAAACTGTCAACAACTGTAGTACACAATATCTTTATTAATGACCCTTGTTAGGCAAACATATTATTTTTAAAATCCACTTTATTAAAAGACGGACCTTTAAAAAGACTCTGTGTAATATTTTTTTACTTTTCAACTGAGGTTTTATCGCTGGTGATGTTTGAAGACAATTTGGACGACGATTCTTGAAATCGCTTTTTTTGACGAAAGAGGTTTAAGGGTCATTGTGTTTAAATGGTGATATTCTTTGAACGGATGGAGCAATTTCAGTCATTTTTCATCTAAAAGTAGCTTATGAAATTGGCTTTCCAGTCAGTATTATTTTCGGTGCTACATATTTTTCTTTTAAATATGAAATATAGTTTTGGGGTTTGGTTTCCGCTTTTTTTGACTCACCCTGTAGTTACCATTTTTGCTTTTGATGAATCGCTTTCTTCGGCATTCCAGTTACTCTCCACTCTACTGACGACAAGCATCAGACATGCAAGCAGGATTTGGAGCATTTTGGCGACTGATCGGTTTTAACAGCTCTGGCCAAATTGTATGTGAAACCTGAGGACCATGCACCGATGTGTATCGTATAAATGCTGTTTATTAATAACTCAATAATTTATGAGTCGGTTTGTTTTTGCATTAATATGCAAATGTAAACGTCTTTTATTATATTTGTCGAATAAGCAATAGCTTTCGAGTAATTAAATGCCATTCAAGGTAATACATCTTTAAATGCCAGGTACTTTGTTCTTCAGTTCCAATGAACTGTTTTATGTTAATATAATAATAATTTGGGAGGCTAATCATCCTTACTCGCAGCTGGTATGCTGAATTATGCTGGTATGCTACAACGTGGTCGGGCCGCTGGCACGTAAAGGCGCCTATGGCTGCCGACCACATCGCACAAGCCACCCATGCCACCCAAAGTGCAAGAGGTGCAGCGGTGGGCATATACTCGAACCGAGAAACATACTACACCAGAATATCCTACATATTAAAGTTTGTCATACAATTAAGCGCTGTCAGATGTAGGGCGCCTTCGCTCGTACCCCCCCCCCTCCTGCAAACAGGACGCTGGGAAGGGCTGATTTCTTCGAGCTCTCATGGGATAGATTTTGCGTGACCTGTGACGTAGCATGCAGCGCTGCTGATGAGATACCCATAATGCCATGCGTACTTCTTACACAAGATTCTGTGAAGCGGCATCAGCCCTTCCTAATGTCAGAAAAAAAGTTGCCGATTACATTTCACTATAGCCCCTAAAGCGATCTCCGTGTGAGATGCATATTGTCCATCATGTTTCCAGTGGAATAAGCTAGCTGTACTGCACAAATTGTGACTTCAGTTTTTTTTTTCTCTATAGGATTCAGAATATTTACTTACCCGAAATTATATTACAGTGTTTGAAATTACCCGGTCTGAAATGTCCCGGTCTTCAATTTCCACACTGGCGTAAAAATATGACCGAGTAATAATTATTAATAAAATGATTTATAAACCTACTGACAAAGTCAGTGAACTAGCACACCATTTACAAGCGTGCATGTAGGGCAAACTTCTGTAGGATATTATTATTATATTAGTGAGTGCTGCAATCAGAACCGTGATTGGTCAAAACATCAGGCCCGGATTAGGTGTTTCGTAGGCTCTAGGCACCAGTGTTCCGTAGGCCGCTACTCCGCTCTAGCCACCGGCACCAAATTCAAGGTACAACGCACTGTACAAATCAGGCCAGGACCCGGGTCCTAGCTCTAAAAGCCTGTTGGCACCAAGGGCGTCAATTGCTTCTCAAAAGTGGAGGTGGCACTGTCTCTTGATCAGAACTAATGCGAGTGCGAAGCCTAAACGGCGTGGGGGTGGGGGCCCGCTGAAGAGCCCTGAAAAACCCTTGGATTCTAGACACTCTGTGGTGACATCTGAGACAATTATGACCACTTTAACCAACTTTTGTTTAGCAAAAGAACATCATCATTTTCGAGTTTGGAGTACTTAAAACCAGCTGAGCTATAGAATCAAAATATGAAGTTTACAATGTTTTATTCGGGGACGAAAATAGCTTGAAGACGACGACATGCCCCTCCGTCCCCCACCAATCGACGCCCATGGTTGGCACCGTGCTTCAGAAGCACAGACTTTACACGTACATTGTATACGTAGGTCATGTATGCTTACGTGATGTACATTTTACGGCGCCGCGCCAGTTGGTGAAATCGTTTTTTAAAACTGTGGGTGTGGGTGTGTGTGAACGTATAAACACTGCCTTATATGGGGTACCGGAACAATGGAAGGTACCCCACAAGGAATGCCCACCGACTTGCGGGGTACCATTTTGGTACCCACAAGTTTTTCACGAAATAGATATATGGATTTTACTCAAAAACTAGGAATTTCCAAGGTGGGTTGATTGGTCGCTAATGGAAGAGTTTTAGAAAAGGGATATTAAGTCCGAATTTCAGCCCAGGAAATTAATTCTGGTTAAAATAAGAGCATTTTGAAATTAGTGTGCGACATTTCAAAATTTTAGTACACGAGAACAAAGGAAGTACCCCACTTCTATGCCTGTGTAAGCGTGGGTGCGGGTATATATAGGCCTATAATTAATTTTATGGCACATTGCGGTATTTTCGTAGGCTCCCGAATTTTTCGTAGGCCCCGGATATTTCGTAGGCCCTAGACACAGTGCCTACTCTGTGTCTATTGGATAATCCGGGCCTGCAAAACATCATGGGCGTGGCTTGACTGAGGGAGCGGTCTATTTCCCAATGGGACATAAACAATAATGTGCCTACACGCGTACTTTTTGTCGCAGTGCAAGTACAGTGTGAGTATAAAAAATGAAACACAAATGGCAGGACCAATATTAATTAAGTTCTGCATGTAGCACTTTCTAAATGTAGGATATCAAAGCCCAATCAATAAGCTTTCGTTTAGTACAAGAATCATTCAAAACACGTATGTGTACCTTTCATGTTATATACAGAATGTTGAACACAAAAACCGTTTTAAGGTTATTTCCAAGGATCACAAAAAGGTAAATGTTCTTTCATCAGCAAAACGAAAAAAATCACATAGGGATGTGTGTGAATTGTTTTCGTTTTGCTGAAAGAACACTTACCTTTTTTTGTGATCCGTGCATGGACAGAAGTTTAAAACAGTGTTAAAATTCTGTAACTTATATATGTTCCTGACCTTGGGTTTTCTTTACCGAAAGACTCTTATTGGCATGTATGTTAGCTATCCACGATATGAATCACTAAATCATTGCAATACTAAATCTTTTGAATAAGATTATGGTAATTTGCTTTAAAAAACCCAATAAAGTACAATGGACTAGGAACAAATTCATAACTCTGTATAATTATCGCAGTGAATTATGCAATTTCCCTTCAATTATTGTATTAGAATGTACAAGTAACTTCCAGATTAACACAGGGTATTCACGGACAAGCTACGCTGATATAGCCCTTAAATCACAAATAATTAATGCCAGTAATTCTTTATAAAAAATTCAAGCTGGCCCAGCATTTATACGGTACACATCGGTGTTAGGTGCTCAGTTTTCATATGGCCAGACTTGTTATCTACTGATCAGTCGCCAAAATGCTCCGAATCCTGTTTTCATGTCTGATGCTTATCAGTCGAGTGGAGAGTAACTGGGAAGCTAAAAACAGTAACCAATCTGGTGCAAATCTGGTAACTATTCTAGAGTGGTACCTAGTTTAACTTGAAATAGGTCTATAACTTGAAGAAAGTTACATCTCATATATTTGTTTCTATCCTCAAATCAGGGATTCAGTCTCATCAATATGAATGCAACGACGCTATGGATTTGTGTCAACACTATTTTATTCTGCCCCTCTATAGTCACAAGGTCTTAGCAGGTAAGTGACACCGATGCTCAAATATGGTAAACATCAGACCTGATAGGGCAACAGGGAATCTGTCCATGGTTTGATACTGTGAATTGTTGGATCGGTAACAGGCTTTGAGATGAAATTAACCTAAGCTATACTGCCGTGATCAAGATGTGACCAACAGTGGCGATGTTACTTACAGTAATTGTTCAAGCGTGCTGTTTCATTGTCATTTACTCTAAGAATGACCACATTTCAATAACCATTTTGTTTAAAGCTGTGTCTTTGCCATTTTAAATTGGCCATCAAATTGATTAAATAATTATTGAGCTGGTGAATGATCATAATCCCAGCTTGACAAGTAAGTAACAAAATGACGCCTAGGTTCAAAGGGATAAGCGAGTGTGGTGTGAACAATATGAAGTCAAATGTGCCTATGGCTAATACGTGAAATATCTAAATGTATAAGCCGCCAACAAGCGTCTCAAAACGCCCTTGTGCATAATTGTTTAACGTTAAGCTCACGCATGTACATACTGCGATTATCATTTGCAGTTTTCGAATACACGAAGAACCCTTACAAACTCCAGGTCGGTGTTCGAGAAGGGATACAAAGCAGAGACTGGAGATTTTTCCAGGGTAAGTGCAGATTGGTTCCTTTACATTGACTTTGCTAAAAGACAGGCCTGCGTGGCAGGCTGTATTTGGATGGATCACAAAAAAGACCTGTGCAACCTCAACTGTAACGACCTGACTGCAGTGGTGTAGCCAGGAATTTTCTGGGGGGGGGGGGGGGGGGGGGGGGGGGGGGGGGGGGCGTCATGTAGGGGCGTCAATCGCTTCTCAAAAGTGGGGGGGGGGACATACCTTGATCAGAACTGATGCGAGCGCGAAGCGCGAAGCCCTTACGGCGTGGGGGTTCGGGGCCCGCTTAAGGGCCCGGAAAAAAAATTGGATTCTAGATGTTCTGTGGTGTGATCTGAAGCAATTTCTTACCACTTTCCTCCATGCTTTAACTAATGTTTTCTTAGCAAAAGATAATTATTTGAACATTGTTTTCGAGGTTCGAGTCATTGAATCAGCTACCAGAATTCTGAGCTATAGACGTGGGGTTCGGGGCCCGCTTAAGGGCCCCGAAAAATTTTGGATTCTAAATGCTCTGTGGTGCTATCTGAGGCAATTTCTGACCACTTTAACCAATATTTTCTAAGCAAAAGATACGTTGTAGTACATAATAGGGCCCTGTAAATGAGACACGAGTTCAAAAATCTGGGGGGGGGACATTTGATATTGTGTCCCCCACCCTTCAAAAAGGGGGGGGGGGGGGACCAGTCCCCCTGTCCCCCCAGGATTGACGCCCATGGCGTCATGTAGATCAATGATAATTTTTTTAGAAACTCAAAATCTCAGTGGGGGGGGGGGCGACTGGGGGCGACAAGGTTTCATGGGGGGCTGTAGCCCCCCCCCCCCAGGCCCCCCCCCCCCCCCCGTGGCTACGCTACTGATTTCAAGGAATTTTAATTGGTCTATTATTATTATTTTAGCTTATATGAATGGAGGAAAAAGTTTGTGCGTGGCCGATTCGCGTGATATCGCTGACTGAAACTGTGTGACCCACGGACCACCTGTCTATAATACGTGTTCCGTGGTGTGAGCGAGCAGTGCAGTGGTGTTAATACGCATTTT